GGGGAGAGGAGTGGGGGGAGGGGGAGAGAAGAGGGGGAGGGGGAGAAGAGTGGGGGAGGGGGAGGGAAATGGGAGGCTGGGAGGAGGCGGAAACTTTTTTTTCTTATTCTCAATAAAATAAAAAAAAATTAAAAAAAAAAATCCCAAATGTGATCATGAAATACTCGTATTCTGTATTTTATTTTATTTATGATTACAGTAGTTCACATGGGAGGATGTTATTCTGAAAATATTCAAGTTGAAAGAATAAAACATTTTTTAAAAAAAACTGGTTTTTTTAATGATTCCACTAAAGAAGAAAGTAAAAACAATTTACGTATTTAATTCCCAAGTTAGTAAGCTTGGAAAATTAAAGTGGAAATTTAAAGAATTAATGACTAACTTCACCCTGACTGGGAAAAAGTAATGGTTATCAAAAAGTTGCACAATAAATATGAAACTGCGGGCTGTCAACCACAGTTTATGGCCAAAATGCTGCAAAAGTTTTAGTTTATGAATTATATTTTCCACCTTCAGGTCCAATTTTGTGTAAACTCCCCCAGCACTCTCCTCACGAAAGAGGAAGTTCTGAGCGTCTGTCTCAGTTAAGGTTTTTATTGCTGGGAAGAGACTGTGACCATGGCAAGTCTTATAAAGAAAACATTTAATTGAGGGTGTTTCACTTACAGTTTCAGAGGTTCAGTTCATTCTGATCATGAAGGGAAGCATGGCAGCATGCAGGCAGATGGGGTCCTGGAGCTAAGAGTCAAACATCTTGCAGGCAACAACAAGTTGGCTATCTGTCATACTCAGGAAAGTTTGAGAAAAAGCCCTTAAAGCCCACCACCCCTAAAGTGTGACACACTTCCAATAAAAGGTGTGGCCCAGATAAAAGGTGTGCCCTCCAGCCTCAAGGTCTGGATTAAAGGTGTGTGTCACCCAGTCTTTTCCAAGAAGAACACACTTCCTCCAACAAGGTCACACTTCCTAACAGTGCCTCTCCCTGTGAACTTCTGGGGGCCAAATACATTCAAACTACCACAGGGTCTATGATTTTACTGTTTCTGAAGTCTTGGGCAACTAATACCTTTTGTTTAGCTTCTGCCAGCTTTAGATGTCTCATATCAGAAATGGAAGTTATATTTGTGTTTAGGTGTGACACGTCACCCTGCCGTGAGGAGAAATTAAGTGAACCAGTAATTTCAAAGTACCCATATTAAATGATCTATACTCCATCATGATCTATTAAGGAAAGGCTAGGCATTCATTTTCCAAGTTCGTATTGATCACTTATGGGCTAACACCATTCTTCATGCCAGGGATGCATCCTAGAGAAAGAAGGAGAAACATCTGCCCCGGTAGGTGAGCCATCTTCTTCCCTTGTCCGGGAGCAAGGCACCTGCTTTGTATGTTTTTTTCTTCATCTCCCGGGCGATTGGAAAATAACTTGTGTTTAATATGTCCGCTAGAGGTTCTTTTGCATCTCTCTTAGCTATGAATTTTCTATTACGAGTTTTTACAAACACACGACAGTGATGCTAATTCAGGAAAGGTGGTTAGGGTCTTTTTCAGGGATGAAAGGGATTTATACCCCTGTTTGAAAATCTTACACATAAGTAAGATGGTGCTGCGGCGGGTTCAAGTATGCAAGGCCCAAGAAGGCCTAGAGCACGGAGGGAGCCTGTAGAGATCCTGACCTCATCCCTTGTCTGAGTTTGCTTTCTATTGCTGTGATAAAGGCCATGACCAAAAGTAGCTTGAGGAGGGAAGGGTTTATATTCCAACAAATGCTTCTGATCACAGTTCATCACGGAGGGAAGTCAAGGCAAGTACCTGGATGCAGAAGCTCATGCAGAAGCCATGGAGGAACACTGCTTATGGGTTTGCTCCTCATGGCTTGCTCAACCTGCTTTCTTAAATAATCTAGGACCAACTGTTATAGTAGACTGAGCTTCTCCACATTGGTTGTTAATCGAGTAAAAGCCCTACAGATTGGCCTACGGTCTGGAGGTGGCATTTTTTTCAGTTGAGGTTTGTCTTCGCAGACAGTTTGCGCTTGCATGAAGTTGACAAAAAACAAACAAAAACTAACCAGCACAGCCCTGCTATTTTTTCTTTAGTGTAGAGTCAGAATAATATACACGCCAACCTTTATCGAAAAAGTGGGTGGATAAAAAGACCATTGTTGAATAAAAGTTGTTGCCAGGGCAGTGATGGGACACGCCTTTAATTCCAGCACTCAAGGAGGCAGAAGCAGGTGGATCTCTGTGAGTTTGAGGCCAGCCTGATCTACAGAGGGAGTTCGAGGACAGCCACAGATATACAGAGAAACCCTGCTCGGAGAGAAAAAAAAAATGGTGTTGAGTGTAATTATTTTTTAAAAGGATGCTCATTAGAAACTGACACTGGCCTTTCACTGGCACGGCATACTCATGCTGTGTTTCTCTTTCTCTAGATTGTTTGTAGAAAAGCTTCCTGGACATAGAGATTACCAGCAGTGTGAAGTTCCGGAGAAGCAGGATATCATGAAGGTACACAGGGTTGAGCCTCCCCTGTGGGCTCAGATGCCCTGAAGGATATGCGATTGATTCATAGCTTCCTCCTTGGCTTGTCCTCTAATGAATGTAAACTCCCAAACCCCATTTCATCAGCCGTGACATTTTGATTTCCCCCTAATGCATTTAGTGGCTGTGATGGTGGCCATTCAAGGTGTCTAATTTATACTGGGAAAAAGGAGAGAGAGAAGAGAATGTGGCTCCGTTAACTTCGGATGTAAGGCAGGAACTCCTTTACAGCTCCTCCCGGAGAGGGAGAGAACGGTTGTTCCCATGCACTTCAGCTGTTTTAGCTGCTGCGTTATTCTCCACAGGAGGGACTAACTCTTTGGAAATCACTCCTGATTTTAGCAGTAGCCCCACACTTTAGCCACAGGCCTGGGCTGGGTGCATGACGATGTTTCAATCCCTGAACCCTAGAGATGACAGTGGTTCCATTACCTTCTATTGCCTAGTGACATCGTTACTGTCTTAGTTTAAGTAAGTGTATACTTTGATTTTTCCATAGTAACAAAATCACTGAATCATAAGTTTCTTAGGACATAGCTTTGTTGCTAAGTGGCTTGTAACCATTTGCCTCCTAGAAAGAAGTTTTCCCGGGAGAGTTTAGCTAGAGATAAGAGAGGAGACTTGGGAACTAGTCCTAACTGGACCATCAGCTCCCTATGTGAACCAATTTCATTAGGTTTTTCCTTCCTCTCACACAAGGGAGGGTGTGATAGGGCTCTATCAAGTTCCCAGGGTCTTCCCTGTCATTAAAAACTGCTAAAGAAGTTGTCTGAGATCCCGACTCCCTCACTTGTCCCTGGAGATGTGAATCCAGGGACTAGCCTGGGACTCTGAATTCTCATGAAAGGTCCCTCAGCTGCTTTTTACATCTGACATGTGTAGGAATGCCTCCCCCACTATAAACCCTGTTGTCTCCCTTGTCATGCCAAGAATAAGTGACCTCCAAATGCAAATGTGAAATTCTATTGCTACCTTCCTAAACAAAAATGCTTATCTAACCAGTAGAATCGACGGAGATCTTACAAAGGGAACACATACACACAAACACAGTGTACAGTTTATTTTCTTCATTGCTAGAAGCTGTATTTTGAAATCCTAGAATAGATTTATTTTTCTGAGGCTATCTTTGCTTCTTCTAACTTGGTTTCTAATATACATCCCAGCTGTTTCTCTTTCTCAGCTGATGTTCGGAAAGCGTATACTGAAATTCCCACTAATTGATATGTGTATATCTTTTTGAAAGAAACTGAAGGAGATTGCCTTCCCAAGGACAGATGAATTGAAAAAGGACCTGATAAGGAAATATAACATAGAATACCAAGAGTATTTGCAAAGCAAAGTAAGCTCAATCGGCACATTGATTTATCCACTGTTGTTGTTGGTGTGTGTGTGTGTGAAAATGGTTTTTGAATTTCATTTCTGTATGAATTTTTGAAATATATGCATTTAAATTAAAAATTAAAGATGTAAGAATGTGAGGCTAATAAAAGATTCATGCAGCTGTCCAGACTGAGCATGTGCTCTAAGGATGCGGTATTTTCACTTCCTAAAACATCTAATGAAGAGCGCATTAGGAAGTAGACTTCCTACGGTGGTTTAAATGGAGCCTCTGACGAAGTCATTCCAGCGTAACCTTGAGCCAGATGGCTGATACATTTATTTTTCCAGATGAATAGAAGCGGCAGAACGTAGACAAAAAATAGTAATAATCAGAGCATGTTTTTGATGTATTTAATTATGTAGGCCTTGGAAATTTAAATTTAGTTCTTAAATAGTTCAGTCAACATTTTCTCAAGATCGAACAGTTAACCTTGTGGGTGAAACATAATCCTAGTTCCAATGGATGCTGGTTTCTGGATTTTTACTAGACAGTGAAAGGAGACCGACGGGCATTGAGAGGGGAGATTACCCGGTAAATCTAGGGGGTTCTCAGATTCCACATACAAATTCTTAGGTCTTAAGAGATTATTAGAGGTGTCGCTTTGCTTCTTTGTGGTTGGGTGACCATTTCCTTTGGAGGTCGCCAGCTCCACGGCCTCTTGGCGTCTCTTCCATCTCACTACCTCTGCTAACAGTCCCAGAGTTTTTGGGGCATCGCTAGAAGGCTGGTTAGCTAAACTAAAGAGGGAGCGAGGATGGCGCTCCTTCAGGGTGTCCCTGTGAGGAGCGTATGGGACAGCTGTGCCCCGTGCTGCCGTGGTCACGATAGTGCCCTCACACGGTCTACAGTCTTACCTCACATGCAGGTTTCCGGCGAGGTAGAGCGGAGGCAGCCAAGGCTAGGGAGAGGGTTAAATCTACCTGAAGGCTCGGACTATGGGCAACACCTGCCTGCCCGGGTGCTTGTTAGAACTGTAGAATCCGTGCCCAATCAGAATTGCTAATGCTAACAAAGGCCCAGAGTGATTAGCGCTGTGAAGCATGGCTATAAAGTGAGTCTGCTCTGCTCCCCGCACCTTTCAGTAGCTCGCCACTAAGCTTCTGTCAACAGCAGTTGGGGAACTTACTACCCCCTTGGTATCCCTCTACCCTAGTAATGCCCAGGTATTTTGCTAGGACTGGGTGTTGGGATTCTTAATTTTTTAACACGACTTTTGATTAGAAGAAATAGAAACACTTTTGGGAGCCACTTCCCTTTGATTCCCTTTCTTCATAACATATATATGCATTCTACAAAGACAGCAAGGCTCTGGGGAGCCCCACGCCAAAGAGCTTAGAACAGTGGACATATTCTATCTGTCATTTCTAGTACGGCAGCCACCAGCGCAGGAGGCTGCTGGGTACTTAGAATGTGACCTGGGTGCCTGAGAACTGCATTGCTGGTTTGATTTCATCTCAGTTTGAATTTAAATAGTAGCTTCTGGCAACTTGCTGCCAGATTGAACAGTGTTGTTTAAGGAACAAGATCCTTTGTTTGAAGCTGCCTGAGGGGTCGGGAGGACAAGACATTGATATTTCAGTATTTAGAACCACGGGGGAATGTAGAGCATGAATTCTGTGCTTCCTTTCATGAAATGTGACAGATTTAGAAACGACTTTCTTTATCAAATTCTGCATTTTTGCTGTGGTGTTTACTTTTCTGTTTTCCTATGAATCTTTCTCCTTCCTCTCTGTCTCCCCACCCCCAGAAGACTAAAGAATCTAATAATTTCAGTTTGATGTTTTTGGCTTGGAAACTAACACTTTTATTTTCCTGGCAACCATCTCCTCAGAACAAATACAAAGCCGAAATTCTTAAAAAGTTGGAACATCAGAGACTGATAGAGGCGGAGCGCAAGCGGATAGCTCAGATGCGCCAGCAGCAACTAGAGTCAGAACAGTTCCTGTTTTTCGAAGATCAGCTCAAGAAGCAAGAGTTGGCCCGCGGCCAGACGCGAGGTCAAGACTCCCGGGTGCTGCCTGAGCAGACTGATGGAAGCGGACTGTCCTGCTTTTCCACCCACCAGAACGTATTTGCCGATCAGCCCCGGAAAAGCGATGGCAGCGATTTCGCTGATCACTCTCCTCCCGTGAACAGGGCCTTAAAGCCCGCGGCCACTCTGAGCGCGGTTCAGAGTAAGTGACTAGTACGCAGGCGCACTGCCTCCTGTTTCTAATTTACAATCCAGCCCAGCTAACTTGTCCGATTACAGAGCAGACATAGTTTGTTACTGGGTAGAGATTTTGAATGAGAAGTCCAAGCATTTCTTTTCCTTCTTGGTGTTTTATTCAAGACGCACATACGTCTTAAAGGGAAACACACTGGGGACTTCCGAAAGAAGATACTGAGAAATGAGTTGCTGGGACCCTAGCTCAACAGACAGATAGTAAAGGGCAGTGTTTAGCATCAGCCTGGACCAGTGGAGTGTCAGCCTCATCAACAGATAAGCTGTGAACCGTGTGCGTTTCCACCAGCAGTTCCTGGTGTTCGTTTTAGGTACCGTCTCGTCTTCTCTAGCACGTTTCCCGACTGGAGTGAGTAGGCAGTTCTCTTTGGCAGAAGCTCCTATTTAAAAGTCACGGTAGGCAGCCATGCCACTCGGCTGGTAATTGTTTCCGGAGAAAAAATGTGCTTTTGTTTACGGCTCGCCCACTTTCATTAGACTAGACGTTGCACATAACAAGCACAATAAGGAGCATTCTTCCTGTGTCTCGTGGAAAGTGAACTGTGCTCCGTCTGTGGGCTCCTTGGCGTATTTCCGATGTGCAGAAAGAAAACACGGGCATACGAGAGTTGTTCCAGAAGGCGGTTGTGTAAGAGTGCTGGCTCTTTATAAACTTTCTTAGAAAATGATCTGCATATGAAATGTACATATCAGTTTACCCTCCTTCTAATCAGCATTTACTTTCCAGCGGTTTTTTTTTTTTAATGAGCTTTGAAAAGTGAAACACCTGATAGTGTTGAAATTTGTGCTTTAGTTGCTCGCCGAGTTTCAGTGCTGAAGAACGAGACCCAAGCTTTGTTTTCGGTCATGTTTCTCTTTTCTCTGTCTTAGATTTAGTGGTCGAAGGCCTGCGGGGTGTGGTTTTATCAAGAGACCTTTGCCAGAAATTTCTGCTGCTGGCCGAATCAAACACAGTAAGAGGAATAGAGACCTGTGGAATCCTCTGTGGCAAACTGGTACGGTCTTGTTTCATCTCTCAGTGGGTCCCTTTCAGTCGCAGTGATTGGAAGAGCAGGGTGAAAGCATTGGGGGAGGGGCTGTAAGTATTCCGAAATGAACCTTATACACACGCACTTCCTTAAGCAGCTGTTATTGTTCATGAACTCGGCGTTCTTAAAAAATGAACACTAAAATTGCAGAAACACCGTCAAACTCTAGAAACAGAACATTTAGAAAAATGGTTGATTACAAGTCAAGTTGTAAGGAGCCATGCTCAACGGGTAGGGAGGCCCTGAGCCTGGAGAGAGCGGAGCTGTGGAAGGGCGGGAAGGCCAGTGGGCCCAGAGATGGCACCCCATCACAGCCCAGCCAGGACCTCCCGGTCTTTACTTCAAGACCCTGTCTTTCCCACACCCACCTTTTCCCCAAGAAGAGCCCAATGTGTTTCTTCTTTCTTTTTACTTAATTGTAAGAGCCATCTTTTTTTAATTTTGGAAAACATTGGTGATTCTTAGAGGAAAATCCTAACTTTTTCATAATTACGTATAACTGATAAAAAAAAAAAGACAGCAATCCCTACAACTCATAGGACTGCCTTTGAGTAACGCCACCCATTTGCCAACTTAGTCTTTGTCCCTCCACAGAAACCGGCCTTGCTGTGCGGAGACATTTTCCTTTGTAGATCTAATATGCCAACATATTATTTATTAACTAATAACTCCGTTCCCCATTGCTCTCCTTGACGCTAATTCCATCTGTATTTTCTACCACAGAAATGGGTTTCAAGCCCCAAACAGCAGATGCCCGAAACTTTCAATAGAGTCAACTTTTCTGTTTGTTTTTGAATTGTGATAGTGCCGTAGTACAAGTGGTGAGGTCCGCTGGCCGATAGTGAAGCATCCCACATCCTCTTCAGAGACTTGTTACCGTTTGTGGATGGTTGTTTTCCAGACACACAATGAATTCACTATTACCCATGTGATCGTGCCAAAGCAGTCTGCAGGCCCAGACTATTGCGACATGGAGAACGTAGAGGAATTATTCAATGTCCAAGATCAACATGGTCTCCTCACGCTGGGATGGATTCATGTACGTCTGGCCTTTGGGGTTTCGGTTTATTTTTGTGTGGTGTGTTGTTTTCTTCAAACAGGAATTTAGCTGAGTTTAAATAGATTTTGTCTTTATATTTTCCCAGAGGTAATAAGTATACTGATTTAAAGCAGTTTATTTAGTGCCGGGCTGTGTAGGAGTCTGTCACATCTGGATTCGAAAGGGGTAGCCTATACTTTTCTGTTTCACCAGAGCTAAGAAAGGTAACACATGACAGTAGGCCTTTCTCTGATGGGTTCAGATAATCTCAGAGAAATGGCCAGAGTCTAGACTGTGTGGTGGTCTCCTTTCTTTGGCTGTGGGTCTAAATAGTTTATACATCTTTTTTGATGACACTTCTTTTAAACAGTGCATGCGTGTACCAAAGGGGGTCCACACATTCAGTGCCCTGCTCCACAGAGCAGAAGTGAATACATAAAATGGCTGGGGAATTGAACAAACAACTAGGGCCAGAATATTGGATTCTAAGATCTGTTGGGCCACTGTAGGTATGAAACTGGATTTATGCATCCAATAGACATGAGTTTGACAAATATCAGCTCCTCTGAGAGCTCATGGTAGGAACATTGACAGATGACTGTAACAGCATCTCCATCGTCCACAAAGTGGGAGCCATAATAATTGACTTCCTATCATACTGAGTGTTAGATGAAATAACGCCTGCAAGAGACCTAAAGGATGAGCAGGGGTTGGTTTGCATTTTATTTGTTTGTACAAAAGTGCTGGTTGGGGGGGGGGAGAGCCGTGTGGACTTACACACACACCTGCTAAGTATTATTATGATATAGTTTAGGAGGGTGGAAGAGACATCACTCCCTCTCGGCCTTTGAGTCCCTCTGTCCTCTTAGTCAGGACCACTAGCTCCTTATTTTCAAGTTCTCTCACTTGACAGGGAAGCTAATGAGTTTCTCTCACTGATTTGATGTGAGCTGCAAACAAGATGGCATAGGAACACCCTTTGAAAAGTACAAACCGCACCTCAAATGTGGGAGTTTATTAAAAAAAAAACTTGCTACTCATTTATTTGGCTTATTAATAATAAGTAATACACTTTACTACTGTATGGAAATTGCTGTTTTAAATTCTTTATTTAGCCTACAGAATTTATCTAGAATGCGTTTTAAAGCAAGAAGATGAGCCAGTTGGTACAAGTTCTTGCCATGCAAAAATGAGGACCTGAGTTCAGAACCACAGTACCTATCTAAAGAGCTGGGTGCTACCACATGAGCCTAGAGTCCCAGAACTGAGGTTAGAGACAGGCAGATCGTTGGCCAACCAGCCTAGCCAAGTTAGTGAGCTCCAGGTTCAATGGGAAAAACTGACACCCCCCCCATAAGGTAGAGAGCCATAGAGGAATACACCTGATATTATCTTTTAGCTAACACATGCACATACATACATAAACATGTACAGACACCACTGTATCATACACACATGCATTTATGCACATACGCAAGCCATAGCAAGGGAATTACAGCAAACTAAAAGTGGTAGTTTTAAAAATGCCTATGTAGGCCAGTCAGTGTTCATCTTGATAAACAATTCCCAAACCAGAATCAAAGGTTTTCCTAAGCTGTGCTGTGTCTGTTGTGGATGCTCTAGTGAATTTAAGGTGTTTAAATAATGGATTTGTCATCACTCCAGACTTCTAAGATCTAGATTTTCCTGAGTCAAGCTGTTGTGACTGAATGAAAATGCACAGCTGTCAGTTACATCTCTAAAGCTCGATGAACTGCTGGTCTTCACAGAACACGATAACAGCAGTCAATCCCGGGCTAGAGCTATACAAACTCGTCATCAGGAAGAAACTCTGACTGGATCTGGCAGACCTGGGGTCAAATTTTCCATGTCTTAGCTTGACTGGCTCTTTTGACTCCTAGAAGATACTGTGTTGTTTATCGTCTCCTTGTCTATAGAACGGGGATAATAACAACCCTAACCTTCGTGAGAACTCTATGTTGTAATTCATGGAAAGCCATTCATTTTCAGCCCAGCACTTCATTCTTTTGAAATAAATGGCATTTGCTGTTGCTGTCACCACCAACACCACCATCATCATCTTCCTTTGCAATGGGAGTACCATGCTCCCATGGGAGAGATATTCTCCTGAGCAGAGAACCAGCTCTTTGAGGCAGAAATGAAGGGCTCAGGTATTTGCATGGGTACATTCAGCCTGAAGTCAATTGATGGGCATAGTAACTTCTCTATGTGAACACTTGCTTGCTGTCTCCACAGCCCACAGGTTCCTTAGAACATGTCTTCCATTCTGTCATGACACAGAAAGCTCAGAGAAGGTATTCCCTGGCAGAGGAGCAGTGTCAAGCCCTCTCATTCATTCCTCTACTAAATCTTTGCATTTGAACAATGAGCCTACTCGGTGTGTGACTCCACAGAAGAAGGGTGGGTGTTTAGCACAGACAGGATTTTGTTCATAGTCTCCTTTCTCTTTGTGCGTTTTCAATGCATAAGCTTAATGAGTCTCAAACACCTTCAGCAACTTGGAGACCCCCCCTTCCTGTTTATGAGGATGAAGAGCCATAGACAGTGTCATGTATGTGCTATATTTAATTCTGTCAGAGTGCAAAAGTGTCCCAGACTCCAGGTTTCTGATTTCTACAGCCATGTTGCTTCATCTTCCTTAGTCTGGAGATCTAGTATATAGGCTGAGATAGTCCGATTATTACCTCCTTAGATTGATGGAGGATCTGTTCTGGTAAGTGAAGCCGTCTCCGCCTTTCCCACAAGGAAAGTACATACACTTGTAGCACCGTTATTCCAAACAAATAAACAATAGCATGGCAGAAACGGAGGGATTCTATCAGCCCCACCTAATTCCTCTTTATTTTTGCATTATTACTAGCACAGTGTGTGATGTGTACAGGTGCAAGCGTGCAGGTGCCATGGCACACGTGTGGAAGTCAGAGGAGTCAGTTCTCTCCCACCGTGGGTCCCAGAAATCGAGTCCAGGTCATCAATCAGGCATGCATGGCAAACGCTGTTACCCACGAGCCGTCTCACCCACCCACAGCAAAGCATGCTTTTCACGTGCTCCGTGAAAATCGCAGCACAAGGTTTAAGTGCAGCCTGGGCTTCCCTCATGAGACTCTTCTCATTTGCAGACGCACCCCACGCAAACCGCGTTCCTGTCCAGTGTGGATCTTCACACTCACTGCTCCTATCAGCTGATGTTGCCCGAGGCGGTTGCCATCGTGTGCTCCCCAAAGCATAAAGAGTAAGTGTGGCGAGAGGGCTTCCGAGTCCACCACGCTGTGGTGCTTGGATGTGAGGCCCTTTAGCAGGAGACGGGCTGGGGCTGGTTACCATACACCTGTAGCTCCACGATCTGTTGTTGTTGTTATCTTAAGTCTTTGCAAAAGTGAGCCTGCTAGTCCCCCTTTGCCTAGCGTGATAACAGTTGCCGTTGAAATCATATTTCTACTGTTCTGTGTTCTATGAAAAAAATTGACTAGCCTTCCCCAGTTACCTCCACAGCTTCCTAGTTTGGGAATACAAATGTTATCTGGGAAAGAAGGACTTTATTCTTGAGCCAGATGTGAGTGGCCATGGCCCAGGAACATGGATTCAAGTTGCCCTGAGAAGCATACTCCACCACAGAAGTGATTGCATTCAATTCTGTTGTTTACAGAACAAAGCTAGTTACAAATCAAGACATGTACCAAACACATTGGCAGAAACAGCAGGTAAAATGGGTCTTGCAAGGCCAGTGGGCAACTGTACTATCAGGATCAGATGTTGTCTGAGGACATTTGTAACTTCTCAATGAGTAAAAGGCCCGTGAAGAATATTTTCTAAAACTGATCGTCGTCAGCACAAAGGTGGGCAGGGAAGAGTTTTGAAGGAGACTGAAAATAACCTGCCACTTATCTACAGCATTCTAACCCTCCACACCAAGGAGTCCAGTCATCCGGCCTTGTATTAGAGACCTGTTAACATGGGAATGACTTTTCATTTTCTGGGGATTCAGCTTAACAGCAGTTATAATCATAAGAATAAGACAGACATTGTTTGAAGCCTGTCTCTACCTGCAAGCTGTTGGATCCCTGAGCACAGGGATCCAGCTTCTTCATCCTTCATCCTCGCCTGTCCTGGTTGGGTATGAAGGACACTAGAGAGTGTCTATGATGTGTTTATCACAGTGCCCAACACTGCCACCTACCTGCCTGATCATTGACGTAAAGAACACTAACCTTACAGAAATGAGAACTATCTGCTAGGGTGGAGAACATGTGTATGACCTTTCCCATGGGGTCTCGGCGGTTTCCTTTTGGTCCCTTTGGGTCCCTGTAGGTACTTACTTGGAGATCAATGTAGCTAACAGTAGTCATGGTGTGGCTAATTGTGACAGTCACGGGGGATTCCTGGTTGGTGATTTTTTTCCTCCATCCCATTTGAGGAATGTGCGTGTTTGTGTCTTCCTGGTTGGTTTTTAACTTTGTGCCTCTTTTCCCCTTCATGTTTAGCACGGGCATTTTCAGGCTCACCAATGCCGGCATGCTTGAGGTCTCCACTTGTAAGAAGAAGGGCTTTCATCCTCACACCAAGGACCCCAGACTGTTCAGCGTGAGTAGACATCCTGGATAATGGTTGTTGTTGTTGTTGTTATTGAGACAGGGTCCATCTGTGTAGCCTAGAAACTCACTGTGCAGACCAGGCTGCCCTCAAACTCAGAAAGATCCCCCTGCCTCCGCCTCCTGAGAGCTGGGATGAAGATGTGTACCATAGTGTCTGGCTCAGCAGCAGGGATTATTCTCACAGATGTTTATGTTAGGTTTACCCTACCCCAATTCAGCAACGTTTATAAAATTCAGAGAAAAAATAAGTAAGGAACTCTATATACCTTTCCTAAAGAAAACCACACATTAAACATTATTATGTAACACCTTTTTTTTTTTTTTGTCTTTTCTAGATATGCAACCATGTGTTAGTAAAAGACATCAAAACAACTGTGTTGGACCTGAGGTGACGTGCTCCAGATACACGAGCATCCGCACCAGATACCTGCCATGGATGTGTGTGACTGCTGAATTTCTTATGACGTTTCCAGAAGTGACTGATATTTTATATTTATATATTTTAGACCAAAACTTTGATATTTATTGTTCTTGCACATTTTGAAGTTTCCTTTTTGGGTTGCTGTGTCTCAAAGGAGGTCACATGCTGTTCAATCTATACCTATTAATGTACCCAAATAATATCCTCAGAAAATAAATTGTGTTGCAAATAACAATATACCTATTTGTAAAATTTTATTTAGATTTTATTTTTATATGTATGAATGATTTACCCACATGTATATATGTGTACCATGTGCATGCCTGGTGCCAACCAAGGTCAGAGCAGAGCTTTGGATCCTCTGGGACTTGAGTCAGTTGGCTGGAAGCCATCATGTGGGTGCTAGGAATTGAGCCTGGGGTTCCCTGCAAGACCAATGAGTATTCTTAATGGAGCCAACTCTCCAGCCCCAATATGTCTGGTATTTTTTTTTTAAAGTCATTGACTTCCCACGCTGGCAGGAAAGGTGTAGTGGGCAGCTCACCCTGAAGCAGCTACGTGTCTGAGACACTTGATCTCCACATCTGATGACTGGTGATAACACTTGTCTACACATAGTCTTCAAAAAAAATAGTGGTGATGTGTGAAAGCCCTGTGTATGATGAGCAACATGACTGGTCCTTCTTCCTTTTAGTGTAAATACATCCACTGCATTTTTTTTCAGAGACAGATACTGGTCAAAGGAAGAGGGAAAGATGATCCAGGTGCATTATGAAGCTTTTAAAGAAGTTTCTCAGGGTTTTACAAGGTATTTTCTTTTTAAAAACAAACTCAGAAATTATGTTTTCTTAAACACAAATGGTTTTATGTGCATTAAAATCAAATAATATACAAGGCTTGATGCAAATTAAAAGTCACACATGCATATCCATGCATAAGTGTAAGGTTTAAAACAAAAGATATCATTTTAGTAAAACAGTATTGCTTGTCAAATTTTAAATGCATGTAAAATTGTTTTTGTTTTCACCTATCAAGCTGCCATTATCTGTATAAAGTAATATAATCACTCAACCAGTCATGAGGTCAGTGTATATTTTCATATTGGCCCTAATATATATTATTATATGTAATGTATACCTGTCCTATGCACTCTCAAATGCATCCTGTTTATATCATTTAAGTGGGGCTTCCTCCTGTTGAAGTGATTTTTATCCATTGCCTGGGAACTAGCCATTCTAATTGGGTCACGTCCTTTCTTGACCACTAGAGGGAGCCACTTCATAAAACTATGTCCCATCTAACAGAAACAATTCACAGTGTTGATGGTAGGCCAGTGCTAGGAAGTAAGGGTAGCACATGTCTGATTTATTAAAAAACACGAGTAACAAGTCAAAGCTTTGGGTAGGAATGATTTAGAAAGGAACAAAAGGCGCTGATCCACAAAACATTCACAGTCGTGCGCTAGAGACAGAGCAGGGAGGTGGCTTAGAAGCATTTGCGGTGCACGATGGAGGGGCCAGCTTCGTCGTATTCCTGTTTGCTGATCCACATCTGCTGGAAGGTGGATAAAGACGCCAGGATGGAGCCGCCGATCCAGACGGAGTACTTGCGTTCTGGAGGGGCAATGATCTGTCAGGATAAGAAAAGGAGAGGGTCAGTGCCAGGAGCTAGTGCCTTGGGCTGGCCCTTCCAGCAAAATAGGGGCCTTCTTCTCCAGCTGGGGAGAGTGATTCCCCGGTGAGCTCATCGATTTTTGTGTGTTTGTTTTGTTTTTATGCAACCTATGCCTAACCTAATTCCTTTATCCTTTCATAGGGTAAATGATAACTGGCCTTAGATCAAGTGAGGCCTCTGCATAAAAGCCCTGACAGTCTCCAGGGGAGGAGGGGGGGGGGGGGGCTGCGCCTAAGAGCTCAGCAGGACCTGCACTTACTGTAGAAGTCCTAGTGCTGTGTGCAGGGACTTTGCAAATGTTCCAGAACTTTCGTGCAAGTGGTCTTCACCCTGATTAAATGACCACTGCTTTATGAAATCCCTACCAAATGCACCAACACAGAGAGGGTTCCAAGTCCCCCTTCTGAGTGCTTCCTGCAGGGGCTGGCTTTATTAGGGGTTTCAGGCCAGGGGGTGATAAGCCACTGCAACTCAAACCCAGAGCTGAGCAACACCAAGCTGAGCTCAGATCTTAGCTGCTTGGCCAGCAGAAGGTGCACTGGTGAAAGAGGTGTCCTGAAATGCTGGGCGTGGGTTTTCTTTCTGTTTGCCTACAAGCTCTGCTTCAACATCCATTTGTTTTTTCTTTCAATCACTGAGCTCTCACTGACAGCCCCATGCTAAGTGTTTTACAGGAATTAGCTTGTTTGATTCCTATAGCGATTCTGAAGGTTAGGTATCCAGTGATTCTCACGTTACATACAAAGAAATAGGCTCAGGGGACTGCCGGTAACAGCCACAAGTGGCTGGGTCATTATCAGGTTTATTTTTAAAATTGGCCCCCACAGGAGTTTTGTTTTGAAGCTACACATTTTCTTCCCCAGGGTGAGGGGATTTGGTGATAATTTAAGATTTCCGGGAAGTTATGCAGATGGTACAGGGACTTCCTGATGTTACTCAGGCTTATTCCGTGAAGTCATCATCTTGGTGTCCCCAATTATATTGCCTCTCTGACCATACGAGGCCCCCAAGTTTCACATCCATTTCCATTTTAAGGTTAGAGAATTGAGGCTTGTCTTAAGTCCTGTTGCATGTAGCCTGCCTATTCTCAAACTCCAACTAGTTTCCAAGTAGTTTCTGCAGCACGCTTAGCCGTCAGAGGGTGGGGTGATTCTAGGGGGTCAGAAAGACATCCAAGAAGCACAAGCCCCAGGAAGCAGTGGCTCCCTCTCACCATGCTGTCCGCCAGAAAGGCTTTCTCAGAGCCTGTTTTAAAGGGCATGTGTTTAAATCCAAATCACTCCCAGCTCAGCCTCATCACCCTTGGAAACAACAGAGAACTTGTTAGGCTGCCTCACAAGCTGGTGGCTGTTCTAGAACTGTTCTTCCCCTGCCTCCCAAGTCAGAGGGTCTTAGTGTGGTACCTTGATCTTCATGGTGCTGGGTGCAAGAGCCGTGATCTCCTTCTGCATCCGGTCAGCAATGCCCGGGTACATTGTGGTGCCCCCTGAGAGGACATTGTTAGCATAGAGGTCCTTCCTGATATCGATATCACACTTCATGATGCTGTTATAGGTGGTTTCATGGATACCAGCCGACTCCATTCCTGGAAAAGAGACACAGGCCATGGTCCTTGGGTTCTGAGAAAAACTTGGGTTGAACATGGAAAACCGGGTTATCACAACTGACTAATCTTCTCTTGGATGAGACTGGCAGGCATCAGGAACTAGAAACTACCATCCAAGAGACCAAGGACCTTGTTATGCTCCACGTCCTCCTGCCTCCTCCAGAGAGGAAGCTCAGCTGCGGCACTTCAAGGGTGAAGTTACAACATGCTAACACCAGTGTCTCCGCAGAGATTCTGCTACACATGGCTTGATCAAGGGGTTAGACCTTCAGATGCTCCGTAAAGAGAGGGCCAGAGCCATTGATCAGAGCAGCCCCATCCTTCCCTTGCTGTTATTTTATTTTGCACCTCCAACACCCAAGATTGAATGGTGAATGGTGGGATCATTCAGCCGGAAAAGTATTTCTCCTACTTAGGTAAAGTTTTTTTTTTGTTTTGTTTTTTTGCTTTAAAAAAACAAACACAACAACAACAACAAAACTGGTCTTCCTAGGTGTCCTTAACTGATTCAGAACTTGTTATAGAACAAGTTGGACTCAAACCCATAGAGATCCACTTTCTTTTTTCTCTCTAGTACTGGGATTAAAGGCATGGCTTCCATGCCCAACTACCAAGATACTTTTTATGTGATCTTTGTATAGACATTTTTAGAGGAGAAAGGGCTGATTGTCTTGACTTCTGATGCATGCTTTTTTGTAACAAACCTCTAGGGGGCCCCCTCGTCCTTCTTAGCACTGTCATCTGGTTACAAAAGTAGCCACACCACGTAATTAATTATTCCTTACTGACGGTAGCGAATTGTTGAAGGCTTGTTTTGAACAGGCACTGGGAAGAGGGTGCCCTCCAACTCTGCTATAAACCTCCCAGCTTCGCTAGTAGGAGGAAACTGAGTCTCAGAGAGGTTAAGTGACATTCTCAAAATCTTGAAAATAGAGCCAAGTCTCAAGCACCTGGCCCCCAGCCTCCAAAGAGGATGCCTCTGCAAAACCCTCTGGTGACTGTGCCTTGCCCGTACGGAATAGGTGTCCTCTAGTTGTTCTGCCCCACCCCAGCATTCCCAAACTCAGAGCCCCAACCATCCCTGTGCTCCACTCCATCCTAAACACAGATACCATTTATCTTTTACATTGCACGCTGAGAGTGTGTTTGTGGGAACCATGACTTAAGAGAGCTTTCCAAGGCAGTCAAGTGCTTTCTTGGCTCCCTGGAGTCTTCTCATTTTGGTAATGTGGCACTTTCCAAACAAACAAACAAACAAAAATGAAGTGGATGGTAGCTCAGGCAGCCAGTTCCGGTGGGACTGCTTCTGTTTCTGAAGCCCTGATTCATTTCTAACTGCAAATGGGTACTGGTAGCCGGGGCTGTCTGGGTACAGAACGGGAAGGCTCCACCCCCCAGTGCCTACCAATGAAAGATGGCTGGAAGAGGGTCTCCGGGCAACGGAAACGTTCATTCCCAATGGTGATGACCTGCCCATCAGGCAGTTCGTAGCTCTTCTCCAGGGAAGAGGAGGAAGCAGCAGTGGCCATCTCGTTTTCAAAGTCCAGAGCTACATAGCACAACTTCTCCTTGATGTCACGGACAATCTCACGCTCAGCTGTGAAACACACACAAACACTGTACATGTTACGGTTTGCACGGGAGCTAAAGCCTACCCACCCCATGTCACTCTTTGCTGAACCAGCTCCTCAGAAGACTCAGGGTTTTCAAAATGCCTCAAAGATCTTTGCTTCCCTGCCCAGTTCTGTAGTGGCTCGATCTTTGACACATACTTCACTTTTGAAAATGAAGTAGATGGTAGCTCAGGCCAGCTCCAGTTCCGGTGGGACATACAGAGAGAAATATGGAAAAGGAGGCTGCCTACTACTCAGGCTCCAGTGCCTTAAGTTTCCAAGGCCTCAGCTCCACCTCTTTCCTGGGAGTCTTTGGGTGGTGTTTTGGGGGACAAGAATAGACT